TTTAGTCAGGAAATACCTTGAATACCCTTCATTTCTAAGTGCGCCTCTTTAATTCCTTCCCAGATATCGAACGACCGAAGAAAGGAATGCTCCAGACGCAGCACGAACGGATCGGGAATAGTCCCTCTCTCGAGGAAATGATGATGACTCGGCAGCCCGAATGCAATGGGAAACCTCCGCGATAACGAATTTCAAGGATGAAGCAGAACGGAATTTCAAGGATGGAGCGTAACGGGCTATGATTCCTGCCAGCATGACGCCGTCGTTTTGCATTCTGAACTCCATTTCTCACGGGCTCCTATTTTCCCTTTTTTCGAGACATGAGATGCGTTGCATAGTCAATGAGAGTGACCTTGCATCTTCTCTGAGGCGCACCGAAATTCACAAAAGTAAATTTCGATGTTTCATGGAATGCAGGTAAAAGAATTCCGATTCCAAATAGCGGTGCAATGATCAGAAAGATCAACGCAATGCATCCCGATACTTCCATTATATCTGGGACAATAGAGAATCAGTCTCATGGTTGCATGCCTGCATGCCTATCTGCTGATAGCAGGGCCCTCACAAAACGTCCACCTATCTGGTGGATCTAGTCGTCCCCTCGTGGATGTCCCCGTACTTCCATCGTTACACAGTTCGAGAGATGTTCATCCGGTCAAAAATCCACCTGAGGATCTACCCTTTCTACTTCCCTCCCTATCTACTTGGCTCGAGATACACGTGAGTAAAGGACCAGGTGGATTCACCGGGTGGAACATCCACCTGGTTTGAATCCACCGGGTGGAACATCCTCCTGGTTCCAAATCACCCTCCTATCTGCTCGGTCGTTCAATAACGTTTACCAACTTGTTTGATAGGGGAAGAAAAAACCGCTCGAACGTTGCCTGAACGCTGATAAAGCGATGTATCTATCTGTAATCCCCGTGCATTCCGTGTAAATAATGCAGCAGAGAATTTCTCAGTTGAAGTGAGTTCTAAAAAAAAATGCTTTTGGACAGAAAGTCCGGAGAGTTCACCGCAATTTTTCCGGGATGCAATTTTCATTAGCGGTACGTGATAGTTGGTCGTCAGTTGTCAATTAGTTCTGTCACGTGAAGAAGTTGAGAAAAGAAATAACGAACTAATTTTCTGCGAGAGCAATAAATATATTTTAAAATTTGATAGTAATTCCCGAATCGACAAAAATCATCCATAGTATTAATCCGACGCCGGCCGCCGAGCGTAATAAGACCCTCCACACCCCAGGAACAAACTCAACACGGCCGGAACCAAGAACAGACGCGCAGCCGTCTTGAGTGTCGGGATGAGCTCCTCTCGGAGCAGGCGACGCACTTCAGGCTCGCAGGGATTTCCGTAGGCTGACGACTCCGTGCATTGAGGGGGGGATCCTTCGCAGCAGGAACTCGGGGTGACGGTCCAGTCCGAGGAATTCGTGACTCCGCAGCATTTCAGGGTGCTCTGCATCGCGTCCCAGGCTTGAATGTCTGAGGGGATGTTGGATTGGAGGGTTTTCTGCATGGTCCTGTCCAGGGTGGGATAATTCTCTTCTCGAATCAGTGTCTCCTTCATCGTAATGGACAGGATCCCCGATGCGAATTCCATGGTCAAGATCGGGAGGAAGACTACATTCATGAGGCAGAGAATCACCATGGGTCCCAATTCCTCTTTTTTGCACGCGATGAAAATGCCGCCAACCATCGGCAGAAGGGCCATGACGAAGACGACGATGGCCATGTTGTAGATGTAGATGGTGTCTTGCTGCGGCAGGAAATACTCATATGGATCGGCTCGAAGGTGCGAGAGAACCCCATACACCAGCTGGGATATCCTAATCCCAAGCCAGATAGGTATCGACAGACACAATACCAAGCCCAAAACCAACGGATTCATTCTCGAACAGCTCGCCTGGACAAGTGCTCAGATTCAACTTGGAGCAGTCATACATTGATTTTATCTGCGTCGATAAGATACGAAGGTAACGTAATTTCCACTCGCTGCTCAAGTGTGATTCCATCTAAGAGTGAGCCAAGAAGCGATAGATCCTATTAATGGAGTCACCAGAAATGTTGAGGCTCCGGGCTATGTAAGGTCATCGATGACTTAGGACCGATTCTCGGGATTCGATTAGGTGCATACAATTGTCGTTGATAAGCGACAATGCACCGGTGTGATATGGTTATCGGCGGACGGTGATTCCAACAGATGACATGGACTGGGGAATGCTAGATGAAGATCGAACTTGTCGGTAAAAATTGAGAAGCGAAGCGAGAAAAAAATTATCTTCCTCGACTGGGGCAAGAGAAGCAACCAGTGACGTCAAGGCAGGAAATTTGTTTTAAATAAATTAATCCATGCATCCTCAGGTAAGTTCCATGTGAGTCTGCTCCAGACATGGACCAGAAATGGGCCATTTCTGGGTTGCAGGTTCGAACATCTTGACTGAATGAATCAGTGCAGGGTCTTTCGCATTTTGGAAAGGAAGCCTGACTGTTGGCTCAACTAAGCAAACAATGCATCGTCCTAATAAAAATGATCACAATAAGAGCATAATCATATAACTTTCCGCCAGTTCGATCTTCCCTGTGTCTTTCCCCGATGCGGGATTCTTCAGTACCTGCCGATTTGTCCGTGCCGATATTTCCAATCGGCCCGACTCCGAAATTTCCGGCCGTTGAGGTCGGGCCTTCCAGCCTGCAGATGCTCTGAGCTACGGCGCTCAGGGATGCATCCTCGATCTTCCACTTGGAAGTTCCCAGTTCGACCTTCTGGTTTCGTTCGAAAGACTGGACGCTGCTCGACCCGCCTCAAATCTCGAAGACGACAACGCAAAGCGTCTCCACCACCTAAAAAAGGCAGAGGCGAGAAAGCAGCGAGAGCGGCCGAACGGGAAAGTCGACGAAAGGTTCCTCTCGAGTCTCCCCCGACGGAAATGCCCTATTGGAAACCTATAGTTATTTCTTATGGGAAACCTATAGACTTTCTTACAGGTTTTTGAAACACGAAAAACCTATAGGATCCCTATAGGGTCGTATTGGACTCCTGACCTTTAGGATTCGGGGAGGATTTTTTGGGTCTCGAAACCCTGACATTACGACGAGAATTGCAACCCAGGACCAATATTGGAGCAGCATTTTGTGTAAATCAATTACCAATTAGGGGTTTTCCCATGGTAGGGGTATTCGCATTACTAGTACTAGTAGGTACTAATACTTGGTGTACATAACTTATTGCCCAGGCCCACATATATTGCCGGATTGCGCGTCCATCTCCTTCGGTAAAGAGATGTATCATTCTCCTCTCGACATCAGGAAACGACAGACAGAACCTACGAGCACATTTCTTTATTGAAACTCCTTTCGGATATAACCAACTTTATTATTATTATTATTATTAAAACTTAGGAGCTAAAGGTATGGTGGGCCCCGCTGTCACGTGGTGGACCGACACATGTCTCTCGCCCACCACGGTGAGATCCTCCCAACATGAGGGCTGGCAGGGAGCAATACCCTCATGAAGCTAATGACTTAGCCCTGAGAAGGTGACTCACGTCTATGGGGGAGAAAACCCGAGAGAGAGCTGCTTCTCCTCCAGGATCTCTCCCTACAGGTTTTTTATCTTTAGGGGATTAATTAAAGAGTAAGGAACTATGCGGCCTTATTGAGAAAGCAACCTGAATTTATTTATGTTACCATCAGTGTTTTGGGGCGCTTAGTATTTAGGTCCACCTGAGCCGAAGAAGAATGAAATCTATAGAGTCCTACCCGTTTTACTTCGTGAGTCAGTAAGGTGTGCTTTTATTTAAGTCGATATTATATTTCCATCCTATCGGAAGGGTTAAGAACAGATACCCCGAAGATCATATGGCGTTTGCAGATCCAGCTGGCCGGAAGGGCCTTATCAGGTGTAATCTACTTTTGCTCCTACGTGGTTTTCGTAGGGAAAATGGGCTTATTTCTGGCCTGCATTCCATGATTCTATCTGAAAGATGGGGATGAATGAGGCAAGGCGAGACATTTGGGGATCTACAAAACTCTCTTGTGAGAGATGATTCCATGGGTAAGGGGAGCGCACTTTCGTGTATTTTGAGAAACGCGAGAACCATTACCTCCATCTAGTGGCATAGAGGAGAACTTCAAACGGAACCCAATAGGCCTATAGAGTTCCGTAAGGGAAAGTTAAGCGGGCAAGATCGTCATGGATTTCAGTCGGGCGACCACTGGGATTCGCGCACGAGAAGAAAATGAATTTTTCATATGAACGGTCTATTATTCACAGAAAGTACCAGATCGACTCAATACACCGCCGGCTGGCAATTAACAAGTAAATAATTGCTAATGAATGAGATGAATGAGAGGCCAATGAAGAGATATGTTTGAATTAATTGACGTTAATCGATCTCGGATGCATTTTTTTCCTCTACCAGTATTGAAAGCATATAAATGGAAGTAATTAACTTTCATTGCTTTTATTTTCCTCGCTGATTCACTTGCTACTTGCCTTCAATCCGTTACAGATAATGACCGTTCCCAAAATCAAAATACCATCTGCAAAATGCTGGAAAGAAATTATACGGTCTCGGGTAAACCATGGCCTTAATTGGAGTTGAAACTCATGATGTTCGTAACACTGTTCTCCATTTTATGGTCCAGAAGTGGAATCCAGAACGAAATGAAGTCACTGGTGAATCTTCTTGGGTTTCATTCAACACTTGTGCGGGAAAAAAAAATCATTCGCAACGTTGTGAATTCTTTTCCGAAATCCGAATTCGAGGAAGAAGAATCGACAATGACCAATTTTTTCGCTCGAATGAACTGGAGGGAAATGACCACTTAACAGTTCGCTTCACCCTTGTTAAAAGTTCAAACCGATCCAAAAACGAGGCGACTGATGGGTTGTGCTAAGCAAGAAAACATCCGAGGAATCGAATCGCAGAAGAGCAATAGCACTTCACTCAGAGAGCATTGTGATATGACTCGGGGGAAAGTGCGCGTGGTGGACTTTCAGCAGAAAGGGATGTCGCAGTAGTCCGTGGAGGGTTTCTTTCCAGCTCCGTTATAGCACCAAGGACCTTTTGGGTCCGAGGTTGGGTTCCGGCAGAAGTTGTGAGAAGGGTGTAAGTCGTCCGGGAAGGAAGCTCCGAAGTTGGAACTGTAATGTGCCTTCAGTTCTTGATTGTTCGGTGTGTTGCTCATCCACGGCTGACATGGGTAGCCAGATTTCGTCGTGCTCTTCGTTCCCATGTACTCCAGGCCTTTCGGCGTCGTTCGGCATTCCCTCGAGCCTGGGGAAATTTTTGGTTATAATTCAGGCCAAGGGAGTGGAAATAATTCTATGGGCAACCTCCTACTAATGTATACCTATACATTCTTATAGGAAACTTACAGGTCCCATGGGCGTAGGAACCGGGGGGGGGCAAATGCCCCTCACTTTTCCAGATGTAGTAAGAATTAAATAAATTGATGACATATTTGGGAAAGAAAACCAAGGAAAGGGGAATATTTACATTCTAGTTTCCCATGAATTTGATGCCCTGATCATGTTTGAATTAAATAGTAATTTTTTGAAACCAATAAGATTCCTATAATTACCTATAGGATTCCTACCTATACCTATAGCCCCTATAGGTCCTATAGTGAGCTTTAGGATTCCTACACTTCCAAATAGAATTCCTATCAGACATTTTCGTGAATCTGAATGGAGGGAAAAAAAAAGAATACTCACTGATGCATTTCCCCGAGACTCGAATGTCACATAGTTTGCCGTCGCTCTCGGGACAAAAGGGGACGTCGCAGTACTCAATTCTCGGCCCGGTGGGTAAGCTCGAAAAGCACCAAGGACCGTGAGTACCTAGCCCGATGCTTCGGCAAAAGTTATGGCTTCCATCCACTTCGTCCGGCGATGCGGATAGGAAATATTTGAAAAGCGGCACCGACATCGTAGTCTTAATCGACAGCCAGTGCATGCACGGAAACCCCGAAATGGTCACGCTCCGACGCCCCACGTATTCCCCTCCCTTTCCCGTCAGCTTGCACTCCGGCGGATCTGGAAGACAATAAACGCGAATGCGACAGGCTGTTCGAAATTTGGCGAAAATCGGGGAAATTCAGGACGTACCGAGATCACGGCAGAACGGTACGTCGCAGTACTCCCACTGGACGTTCGGATCCGAGACGAAGCACCAGGGTCTCTCTCTGTGAAAACCCGGATTCCTGCAGTAATTCTTGTGGATCGATAGGTCGCGATTGAGGAAGTGATCTTTGTATGCAATTTCGCTGCTGTTGGAGAAACCCCAAGGCTCGCGGTGAGACTGAGAGTCCCAAGGGAGACAAGGTCGACCCGTCTCGGTCTCGTTCTTCGTTCCAACGTATTCCTTTCCTTTCTCCTTCAGTCGGCATTCTGGATAGAGCCCGTCGCCTTCCTCGAATTTGACGGCGCAGAACGGAACGGCGCAGAATTCTTGACCGTTTTCTTCGCTGTAGCACCAGGGAGCGGCTTCGCCGTTCGGGTTGCGGCAGAGGTTGTGGTTCCCGTCGACTTCCTCGTCTGGGAAGCCCGAGCCGCAGCAGTCGGGGATTTCGGGGGGCTTCCAAGAGTTCCCCCACGGTCTGCACGGGAGACCCGCGTGGGTGACCTCGTTCGTTCCCAAGTACTCGCCGCCTTGTTGGGTCATCTTACACTCGGGGGGCTCTGTTGTAAATCCATCGGAATACTTATTTTTCTGAAAGTGAAATTTTTTGTTCACACGTTCAAGCCCAAAAACCCTGCGCGGAAAATGGCAAGGCTTTCGGCCGGTAAATCGTTCGAGAAAGTTGAGGAAGTCGAGAAATTTCAACGCTTTCGGGAAAGTGCTTTTCTCTTAAACATTTGTAAGCAAAATGAATTCTCCGAAAAGGAATTCTAAATTCTAAAGTTCTTTTTTCGCTGTTCGGAATGCGGATGAGTGCTTCGGTTGTAAGAACAAAACCAAAAACGTACGGTTGAAGATGAAACCCGAAATGAGAACGGAAAATACCTTTCTGGTTCATAATGACCCGATTACAGTGAATGACCCCCTTAATTGAGTTTATAGAATCTTAATTATTGAAAAAAAAGTGAATTCCGTGAACACGTCTTCATAAATTGCACGTAAAATGAATGATAGCCCAAAATGGCCGAAGCAGTAAGAAAATATGCCGGTTTTACTATTTGCATCATAGAGGATTCGTTCACCGCATTTAAATTTAAAAATATATATCTATGAAATGTTAATATAAAAATTAGAAACTTGAATTTGCATGCCTTATATTTGCTTGGAAAAAAAACTTGGAAGACGAAAGACAGCGTGAATTACTGGTATCGGTGCACATGGGGATATCGCAGTATTCCCATCGAACCTCAGGGTCAGAAACGAAACACCAGGGCCTTTTCCTCCAGGAAGGGTTTCGACAGTAGTTCTTGTGGGACCTGGAATCCAAGTTGATGAAGTTGGAGTCGTAGGCGTCTTGGTTGAGGAAGTCTTCGGGTATTCCGACGGGCTGGCTGCTCCATGGGAGGCACTCCCTGCCCGACTCGGTCGCCTTCGTCGTCCCGATGTATTCTCTGCCCTTCTTCGTCAGACGGCATTCTGGATATTTGTGCGTCTTCCTGCCTGTTGATTGCATGCTCTACTGCCGTGAATGGGAGCTACTGTACGTTCTTTTCCGAGGGTTCTCCCCTTTCACCTGATAGACCGCTTTTAAATGCAACTGCTGGCTTTGCCCTTATGAAGTCCTGGCTCGTCACATCTCTACCATTTGACCTATGCTAGTTGCCCTGTTGTCTCTATAATATATTTCTATGCCGGCAATAAGGTGGGATTGATTGAACGAGAAAATTCTTTAGTTTGAATTCTATTGTCAGCATATTGAATGTTAGTGAAGACTCTAACCAGTCTAATATTAGCATGCCTAGTGACCCTACTAAAGTCTCCTTATCTTCCGTTCCTACCTACAAATTTTTCGCTGTTCTACATGATATAACTATTATCAGCCTTCACCTCGTCCTTGGCTTCAGTTCCTACCTTAGGAATCAACTTCTAATTAATCCTAATCATTCTCATAGTTTTTTTGCTCTCCTCTTTTCTCAACTATGACACTTTCCTTCTACAGCGGTTTCCCAAGGAAAAATGAAACGACTTTGATTTCTTACGGCTAGAATTGACCGCCTGAGGCTGTTGATACCAAGATAAGTATGTTAAATAGAAGGTCTCTGCCACGAGTGTCAGTTTTTCCTCAGTGATACTCCTCCTGGGAATGACATACGAGTGAGGACGTTGCGAGACGCACGTAAAACTCTTTCTGCCGTAGGGAATTCTTATTCTATAATTCTGGAAAAGTGCGCTGCAAAGTGGTGGTCAAGTTCACAAGTCACAGTGTATCGCATTTCGTGAGAAGACGGCGAATGGCGGAAAGCTGAACCGCATAGTGGTAAAACACCCCGAAAGTCCTGTCCGTCTCCTGTCCGTTGCAAGAACCTCTTCCAAAAAGGAGATGCCTGCATCAAGTAAGAGACTACGATACCCCCCCCCCCCCAAGGTCAAATGCAAGGAAGTGTCAAGTGCCTAAGGGATCACTTCTTAAAATCACCAAGCGAGATTTGCATCTAGAATGGAAGCACAAGCCATGGGTGCATGCTCATCATGAGAAACACAATCCAACCGTTAAAAGTTATACGAGCGCCATCTGGCGGGACCAAAGTTCAAATATGTTGTGACTATAGGTGAAGCCCATGTGCATCTGTGGGACAGTGGCGAAAACCAGACAGTATATTGCCGCAGGAGGGGATATCAGGACTTCCAGGAGCGGTGGACTTGGTGCAAGGAAGTTTTCCACAGGCTTCATGGTGATCGATGCTGTCTGCCATGGAAATTTGAATTTCCACTGAATGAACCCCTAAGTCAAAGTGGATTCTAAGTGTTACCGTTACCGAACGTTCTGGAACCACTACAACGAGGAGAGATCCCTAGCAAATTCGGTTGTAAGCATTTGTAGTGCAGAACTACTAGTATTGTTGAAAGTGTGATCAGCAAATTGAACACGACCGGAGATGATAGGAAATAAATTCTTTAAGTTAGAGGTCGCCGAAAATCATTTAATTTCTCTTTGGCACCCTTTCGTACAATCGACTGGCCATCGGATATATGTTCCCTCCATTTTCCTTGCCGTTGCTTGCCTCGAACTCTCACATTCCTCATGGCCTCATATTAAAGGGAATGGTTACGTAAATTTCCTTTGATTCCTTCCTCAATTGTCACCGTCTTCTTTCAATATCGATCCCATGGATTGTGGGTCCTTCTGAACCCTCTTGGCCAGCATTAACTTTTAATTCATTGCATCTTAGACCCAGAGACCACCTGAAAAGTTGACAAGTTCACAAGTGAAGTCCTTACAGCGAGGGGCATTTTCCTGGAAGGAGCTGCACCAAGAATCCGGGGAGGCCGAGCATCGAGCCGTGTGGATGGAGGAGCCATCGGAGAATCCTCTGGGATGCTCGCAGCGGAGAATCACCATCGCCCCCGGCGGCGCTGGGTATTCCCCGTTCCATTCTTCGAAGGACACTTTCGCGTTTGGGATAGTCGGGTACTCGGTCAGGCACAGCCCTGGAGGGACTCAGAACCTCGTTTCAGAACCTCATCGCAAAATCCGACCAAAGACGATCTCTGACATATTCATGACTCACTCTGGACGTAGGAGCTGTAACCGTTTGCCTCCAATAAGCCGCTTTTCCCATCGAGGACCAGCTGGCACGATCCGTCCGTTTCGCGGTAGTTGAAGGCGTAGCACGGTGGCTTCCGCTTCGCGCATTTCATCCCGCAGAGTCCGAGCGTCCGTTCCCTCGTTGCAAACCTGATATTTCCGTATCTCTGCCCCGGATGAGCGGCATAATGGGTGAGTAAGTCCGTCGAGGCCACACCGTGTAAGACGACGAGGACGAGCACCAATTCTCGTGCAAAAGACGAAGAGGAATTTTCCATCCGCTTACGTAAGTCCGAAAAAAGTACCGGGTCGAGTCGGTGCACCGATGATTCGGGACTAACATCGACCCCCGGCGGAATGGGAGAAGCGAAATCGCTATGGCTGCGTGCGCAATCCGAAATTTCCATTTCTTGCGTCAGATCGCGAACCAGGATAATGAATAATTCCTCTTTTTGTCATTTTTCTGCCCGTTTCCGTCCCAATGACATTAAACTGGGAATCTATGCGAAGTGAATTCTGCTCCCAGCTGGCTTTCAATTCACATCACTAACAATTAAATTGGCACAACTCCGATAGGAATTATTTTTTTTTACGGCTCTCTCATTCGTTGATGAGTCCAGCTTTTCGAAATTCCGAATCATAAGAGAGAATGAGAATCTTCGACGAGAATTTTCTCATTGATTTCTGAAGATGTTGCATTTCTTTATTCCCTGCAAACTTGATTGATGATATTCCACTCTTTTCCTCTTTCCTGTTGGTTCAAGGAAGTCGGGCCGATTGATTGGCTGCAGTGACGTGGGGGCGCCGTGCAACGGCTTTTCTGGCCTTTTAAAATCGTCTGTTTTTTTTTTCCGGCGGGGGAGACGAAGGGAAAAGTGGAACCCCTCACGAATGAGTCCGACAGGAATTCTATGGGTATCCTATGGGCTTCGTATTGGAACCTATAGGTAATTCATAGGACCCAATGGTTATTTTGCAGTTCAAAAACTCAGTTGTGATTCCTACATTATTCCCAGAGAAATTCTCGGGAGCTTCTGGGAAAGGAAGCGCCATGAGACGTCAGGAAAGAAAATAATATGAACGCCGGGGGTCGAGGGATAAATCGATACGAGACGAGGCCATCCATTCATCAAGTCGATTCGGACATTCCTTGCGAGAGAAACGCGAAACTCAACGGGGCCCACCGGCTCCGACGCGTTCCAAGGTCACCGTCGGCCTCCCTGCAATCGGTCAGCTGATCCTGGAGCGTCGCTTGGTCCCCTGTTCCTCGTGTGAAATGCAGGGCAGGAAGACTCTTCCAGGTTCAGTTTTTTTTTTTCCGGTCGGTTCGAGGAACGATTCAAGGAAAAGATGGGATTCCGTTTTTTCTTCTGATATTTGCAGAATTGCAGGAAGTCCTTCGTGCCCTCACGGCTTTTTCTTGACGACGTGGAGCCACTGAGTAAGGCGGATGCGGTCTGAACGTGTGTTTTTATGAAGTTTAAGGCAACAGACACTTCATTAAGGCGACAGACGCTCCATTAAGGCGACAGACGCTTCACTAAGGTGACAGACGCTTCATTAAAGCGACAGACGCTTCATTAATGCGACAGACGCTTCATTAATGCGCGCGAGATACAGGCTCACGAAAGCGCAACCTTGTGACGTCACATGGGGTTGTGGCTAGATCGGTTGCTTCCTTCCCTTACGAAAATGTCTTATAGGATTCCTATAGGAACCTAAAGGAATCCAATAGGATCCTATATGCCCCATAGAGTTCAGTTTGGCACCTATAGAGTTCCCTATAGAACCTATAGATCCCCCAATCGAACCTATAGAGTTTCCTATAGAACCTATAGATCCCCCTATAGAACCTATAGGGTTCCCTATAGAACTAATAGGGTTCTCCATAAGGCCTATAGGTTCCCTATAGGACACAAAGGGTTCTGTATAGGACCCGTAGGTTTCCCTATAAAACCTATAGGGTACCTTATAGAACCTGTAGGGTTCGCTATAGGACCTATAGGATACTCTATAGGACCTGTAGAGTCCCCTATAGGGCCTATAGGGTTCCCTATAGTGCCTATACGGAACCCTATAGGAGCTATAGGGTTCCCTATAGGTCTTATACGGAATCATATAGAACTATAGGGTTCGGTTTGAAGTTCTCCTCTTGGCCACTAGATGGAAGTATTAGATTCTCACATTTCTGAAAGGGCACAAAAGTGCCCTCCCCTTAGCCAAGGAATCATCTCTCACAAGAGAGTTTTTACGTCCCCAAATGTCTCGCCTTGGCTCATTGTAGCAATCAATAAATTTCGACAGTTCCTTATTTGTCATCCCCATTTTCCAGATATAATCATGGAGTCTCGTGAAGAAATATGCCCTTATTCCTTTTGAAAACCACGTAGGAAACTGAGATAAACTCTATCCAAAGGAGTTTCAGTAAAGAGACGTGCTCGCAGGTTCTGTCTTCTGTTTCCTGAGGTCGAGAGAAGCATACTACTTCCTACCGAAGGAAGTAGACGTGCAATCCAGCGACACATGTGCGGCAGGGTCATAGATTATGCAGACCCCTGCATTATTGCTGTTAATAATGCATGTGTTCCTACTATGGCAGAACCCCTAATCGATTTTTTATTTACACCAAAATGCTGCGCCATTATTAACCCCAGTCGTCTTTTCCGTCGTAATGCCTGGATTTCGAAACCCAAAATATCCTCGCAGAGTCCTATAGTTCAGGAGACCTATTAGACCCTATAGGGATCCTATAGGATTCTCAAGTATCCAATAGGTTTTTCGTGTTTTAAAAACCTATAGGAAAGTCTATAGGTTTCCTATAAGAAATATCTATAGGTATCCTATAGGACATTTCCGTAAGGGAAGGTACTCTTCTACCAAATTCGTAAACATGTGGATTAGAAATCTTCGAGTGGCTTTTTTTTTTTTAGTAAGATCATAATTGAGAATGTTATTGCTTTCACCTGCTCCTGTGGCACCGACGAGCATGAGCACCTTTCCCGCCCCTCCGTCGGATCGTCGCTTGCCAATATCATACTTTGCCAAACGATTTTTTTCATCTTCCATCACTTTCTTCCGCCTGAGTTGCCAAACAAATCCATCAATTTTCTTGCATTTCTCTTTCATTTTCTCAGCCAGGGTCAACTCTTGCTCCTCCTCCTGCACAGCTGTACCATTATCGTGATTCCCGTTCTGCTGGCGATAATCGATCATATCAAATGACCACCATATTTCAGAAATATGCAAAGGAGTGAATCTCATATCTTACCTTAGCATCCTTGACAAGCTTCAACAGAGCATCCACATTCTGGGGTCCTCCTGATGTCTGCAATATTGAAAAATCGATCATGGATACAGATGAAGCATATTTGAATAGCTCCTTCCCTTACACTAGCGGTTCCCAAATTGGGGAATTGGGTATCATCCTCCATTTTAAGCGAAACTTTCCTAATTTGCTTAGTTATCCAATTTTCCGAATCAGGTACTTAGCATGAGCACTGGCGTCATAAAAAAATACTCATGGGGCTGAAGAACCATATCAAGTTGAGTCCCTAAGTTAATGTACATGGATATAGTCAACGAAAAAGCTACAGCGTACCCATTAAAAAGTCAAGCACCTTACTTGCGTCGGAAAGCAAGGATGATGCTTGCAGCTGCCTCTAAGCTACTGCACTTGTGACTTCGAGGGGGCGATTCGGGTTAAATGAGCATGTAAAGTAAATGCGCCTGTTGGCATGGAGATTCAGCAAGCCAATGCAATATTTTCTTAGGAAGGCAGCTGAAGAAAAAGCATAAGTAGGAGGAGAATTCTGGATTTCAAGTGTAGTTGGCTTTTCCCTAATTATTGTGCGTATGATGGTGGGAAATTGACAAATACCGAGGGTGCTGTCCGAAACAGGAATTCATGTACATGGAATGTAGATACAGAACTCACATTTGCCCTCACCAAGTTCATGAATTGAGACAAGACCCTACGCATCCCTTCATCAGCCTGGGTCATCGTCTGGTTCCTATCCAATGGAGGGGAATACATGCTAATTTTACCAATATGCCATAATGATCTCGTGAGTACAGTACTTACCCATGGCTCATGTCCCATTCCCGAGGTGCATTGACCTGACCACCGCCTTGGGCACGCGGTCCTTGATAAGGAGAGTAGGGTCCCTGGTTTGAAGAGAAATTGCCTGGTAGAGATATGCCTGAAAATACCATTTGTTGGTCTGTGTTTTGAAGGCTTTGGTTTGACATAAAATCCACTCTTTGGGGGAAATTATGACTCTGTGACTGAGTCAGCTGCTGATATGGATTAGATGACCACATGGATCCAGCACTGTTGAAGTTGGGCATCTCTGGATGAGTTTGCATTGGACGCATCTCTCGTTGCTGTTGTTGCAGCTGCTGTGCCATTATTCGGTTATACTGCAGGTTCTGTCCGGATGGGCCCACAAATATCGAGGGAGAGCTTCCTGTCATTGGAACATTTGATTGCCCTGGGTATTTCATTTGATGTGACCAGAGTTTTTGTGGATCGAGCTGGCCTTGATCATTTGAGTATCCTCTTCCATAAATAAATTGTGGTGGTCCTTGAGGCAAGTAAGCGTTTTCCATTTGAATATTTGGAAAGCTTTCTTGGGAATATGGATGCGGAAGACGTGTGTTACCTGATGGAAAGCTGGCTTGCTGTTGTGATGAGAGTGGAGATGACATCTGAAACTGTTGATATTGGGGCATAGAACTATAGTAACCTTGATTCTGAGAGGGCATGTAGACATTTCTTGGTACTGATGTATTCGGAGGCTGTTGGAGTTTTGACCCGAATCCCATTTGTTGTTGAGCCCAGTCAGCATTCAAAGTATTCATTTGCGGAGCAAAATATGTAGGTCCTGTATCTGATGACGAAAATTTTCCTGGCTGAGGGATTTCCTGCTGTTGATTGGTTCTGAAATGTATTGCTTCCATAATGTTCCTTTGTGCTAGCGGGGAATTAACAAAACCCCCCGCCGAGACAGAAAGTGCTGGTCTACCGTCTGAGGATTCGCTGTGTGATGCCATACGCTGTTCCTGTGAAGGAGAGTGCTGTACATTCATTAGTGTGCGCTCCGGAAATTCGGTTGAGGCAATACTCACAGAAGCCATGGGGATTCCTGACAGCGAGAAATTGCTTTGTGGTGGTTTTTGGGCGCTTGTCGTTTTGAGTGGGTCATTCATCTTGTTTGAGTCGGCGATAGTGTTTCCAGGATCATTTTGCTTTTGTTCAGTTTCTGGTTGCTGCTCGCTTGCAAATCCAGCCTGGAGAGAATGGGAGACGCCCATATCCATTGAGGGTTGTATGGCGTCTCCAGACTGAGGGAAAGAGCTCTGCGATTTTCGTTGCGGGCCTCCTGTTGAGGGTTGCCTGTTTGAGTAAGAATTGTGCAGTTTCAGACCTTCATCTTGCTGGGAATTGTTGACTGAATCGTTCGAGAAGTTTGTTTGCTCTGATTGTGTCGTGGTCATTTGTGGAAACTGGATTGCTGGATATGAAACAGGAGGAAACTTTGGTTGTAATCCTTCATTTGAATGTTTCATGAACTGAGACTGCTGGGCTCGTGTCAATCCTACATGCGAAGGAAATGGTGGTGTTTCTGTATTACCTGGCTGAGGGAACCACTGCATTTGTGAAGGAGCTGGATAATTCATTTGATAATATGGTTGCTGAGGATCCATGACAGGAGGCTGCTGGAACTTCGCAGCATCTGCGGGAAAGTTGCCGCGATGGAATTCTGCCGGATTTGCCGTTAGTGTTACATGACGCATTCCTTCCACGTTAGAGTCAATTCTTCTCTGCTCGCCAGATATATACTGCGTATTTCCCCCATAGGGTCCCTGTGGCCCATACGGGTGTGCTATATGTTGTTGAGGGTTCTTCTCAGGTGGGAATGAGGGATTTTGTTGAAACATTCTGTTTCCTTCCAAATTCCTCTCTCCTCGCGCACTTTCCATAGCCTGCATCATGCACCTTCGGATTTCTACCGTAAAAGGATTTGGGAATTCTGATAGCAATGAAAACGAAATCATGTCACGAGGTCATTCAAGCTTCTAGCACTACAGCCTTTACGAAGTAATGACTGTTATCTATGCAAAAGAGGAGATTTTTGTGCATGAAATAATGCATAGCCTACTACCCGTCAGGGGTTCCCGTACTACATGGCAGGGAGGTATGCGTTTTTTTCAATGTTTCTTCACTTACCCTTTTCTTGTTCCTGGTCTCATTGTTCGCGTTTCATGTTTTTATGACAAGTTAATTGGTAAAACTGAAGGGCAATCTTAAGAAGGTGGAGGACTTCTTCCATCGATGTCCTGGAAGACACAGTCTTTAGTCTTCGAAATATGAAATTAAATTATATTTGGGATGTATTTTATTTTGATTCCAAAAGATTACCTCTTCGATAATTTCCATAACTACCGCTTAGTGGGAAAAATATGAACGATGAAAGGAAACTAAATGGGGCAGAATTTTAAGAATCAGCACCGGAGGAACTCTATTTCTCCCCTTCTATTCTCTCTCTCCATATCGATTGAACACGTCTGCAGGTAGCGACATCAACATTTCAGTTTCATATGCTAGCCTTTCGTTATTTAGTGGCAATGCCTCATTGTAGCTAAATGCCAAAATAGTTCTTAGTTTCGAAACCAATGAAATAATGAGTTGGACTCCACGCTACAATTATACGAAGAAAGTCACATTGGTATCATCCTTAAATTATTTCTCTTGGGATCCAACTTCCAATTGTACAGGTCGACCACTGTTTAAGAATGTGTTATCGACATTCTGGTTTTAATTTCCACCGGCCACGCTCAATTCATGCCATAGATTCTCCATTGGGAAGGCATTCATTTCATTTCGAGAAGTAATCCCATCTACTTACGACTCTATCACGCTCAACATCCTCTTTCTACGCAGGTGTCGTATTTATGAATGAGGAAAATGAATTGGATGATATCAACTCCTGGATCTGGTAAGAAAGAGAAACGATTGAAACCAAAAATCCGGATGGCGCGAAATTCTCGTCCTCTGTGTGTTGCGTATTAGAGCATAATACGTGGGGCGTTCAATATGTTTTGCCTTTCGACTACTTCTGAACGAAATTCTAAAAATTAATACTCTGCAAATGAATATATTTTCCATGAGAGAACGATTACCTAAAAGTGGCACAGCCATTTCTTATGAGGAATTATCTAAATTAAATTAATTTCTCCCATCCACAATACATTATACTGAAATTGGTGCTATGGAGGCAAGAGGAGTCACACGATTTTTAGCAATAAAAGGCAAGAATGCAATGGAGGCGCATAAAGATTTGTTCAAAATGTATGGCACAGAAGCCCCTTCGCTCAGGACCGTACAGGGCTGGGCTGGACGAATTCAAGTGGAGCAGGAGCCTAGCAGATGACCGCGCAGCGAACGACCAGCAATGGGCACCAACCAAGAACAGGTTTCCGCAGTCAAAGCCACTGTATAGCGAGTGTTCACACAGAACGGTGGACACAGAGCCAATCGAGATAGTGGTAGGCTATATGGGCGACACGGACTCGGCGATCAATGAATACACAATGTCTTCATATACGGTATCTTGTTCTTGGCTGGTGCTCGTTGCTGGTCGTCCGCTGCATGTGGCAACTACCAGGAAATCAGCAACCCAGCGCTGTACCATCCTGAGCGAAGACGCTACTGTCAAACTTTTCCCTTCTCTATATAAGCTTCCGTTGCACTATTTCCTTCATTTAAAATGTTATTTTTAGGCTGGGCTGCCTGAAGAGCATCAATTTCAATGAAATTACTTGTGCTTGTGAAAAATAAATGTACTATAAATAATTTCTGAAATCGTGGTAGTGCCAGTTAAATGTAATCATTCTCTCATGGAATATATTTTATCTGCAGCTCTTATATATTTATATATGTATATATATTTCTGCAGCATTTTTCTGCATATATTTATAAATATACAGTATATATATTTCTCCAGATAAAAACATTGCAAGAAGAACGTAGCCATTAAAATCATGTTTTAGGCAGCAAATGGGACATAGGACATCTTAAATTATTATTTCAAGAAATGTGGAAAAACAGAATATTCTTATCAACGTTTCCATGACTATTGCGTTTCATTCAATCAACCTGGAGATGTTAGGACGTTCGTGAGACAAGTTATAGTGTTTTCTGTGTCACAAAAAATAAGATTCCAACATTTTCATGAGAGGGGCGTTCAAAAAATGTTGTCATTCAACTACTTCTGCAGATAAAGGATATACAGTATATATGATAAAATATACATATGCAGAAGTAGTTGAATGACAAAACTTTTTGTCATTCTGTGTGGTCTCTTATGATGTCATGTCTTTAAAAGGAAAATGCACTGCCTCTACAGCCCGTTCTATTAATACACCCATCGAGGGTGTTTTAATAGGAAGGGTTGGAGAGGCACGAAACTTCACAGAGGTGAGCCCATGTACGAGTACACATGAAACCCTCACTGTTCTCATTATTCTCTTGCCTTTATGCTCTAGACACTCCCTCATATTCAGGATTAACCGAAGGCCTAAAAACATTGTACGGTCAAGAATACTATGAAGGGGACACAACAGTGTTCACACCACTTCAATATCATATGTGAAAAATTTATGCTTTATGACTCCCATTTGAAATATATTTTCGCTTTTCATCAAGGCGACCAAGACACTTAACAACTTCCCAGAAACAAGTTTTTGCAGGTGTTTTTGAATTAATGTTTCCAATGTGACTACTACACTTGCGCGCTGATACGCTACCAAAATTTATATGAAAATCGCACCAAAAGACGTTTAGACGTTTAAAAAGACAATCTCTTCAAAATTCATTTAAAAAAAGCACTCTTATTCTACAAAGACTGCAATCCTTTCGCAAAGCAACATTCCATTTTTCTCGAACTGAATTTTTTAAATAGTTGCTGATGACCCACCTGCGAGAAAATGAGCCTATATGACATTTCAAGAAACTGTTCAGAGTATGGACGTTCACGAAGAAGCACCCATCTTTGGTGAAAATTCCTACATTAACAATATACAGGTATATAGGGTGTTGTTACCCTATTCAAGATCCCTTTTAAAATTATCTCGCATGACAAAAATTGTTTCCGTTCTTTCAACTTTGCATTTATTCACACAGATATTGGGAAGCTCATTTATTTACGTTTCGCGTACGGAATAGTCTAAAGCACTATTCAGGCATGTTTTCACACCTTCTAACGAGTATACAAAATAATTCAATAAAACAGTTCTTCATTTGGCTCTTCGGAGGTCAACGTTTCATGTATTCGATTTTCTTGATGATCATTTTAAAAATTAAAGAAAAGAAGCAAGTATGTACATGATCATCTTCTCTATCCTCAAGTTCTTCAAAGAGAGGATTTTCCCTCTTCCTTTATCATGGAGCTCAGGAAGGCGCAGCAAATCGTATCGCTAAGATACGTTGTAACAAAGCTCAGGAATCATACGCTTATAGGATAGAGAGAATTCCCTATTTAGACTCTTTTGGAATTAATCGAATAATTAATACTGATAAGTCTAAAGTTATATGAATCTTCAAAAAAGATTATGAATACCCAAAGTGAAAGAAACAAATCTGCATTGATGCATTTGTCTAACCCGAGCCTAGAGTGCCCGAAGTAGGCGTAAAGTTACCTATTTCCAATACAACCCATTTACACGCACTAATCACATGAAAATGAGCGTACATATTTGGGAAGCTTAGATCACTTTGTCTCCCTTCTTAATTTTATGCAGATAATTCATGTACCGCTGATATAGTAGAGAAACTAGTAAATGTGGTTATTTGTTTATTTTATTGGTTCTTTTCCCTCGAATTTTGGCCACCAGGGGCACTCAATTTCATTATACTGATAATTTGACCTGATGGCATTTCTTTAGGGTTGCTTGCGACCTATAAAATGTCCAGACAAGCAATTATCCCGATACTATAGCGTCCTATGATTCCTAAGTTGGATTAAACAATATGTTTATCATCAGTCTGTCAACGTTTCAAAGAGTTGCTTGTAACTACTCTCATTTGCCTCCCACATTTTCCGTCTAAATTCCAGTTTCGGTTTCATGTTTCTGAAATCAGCTGCTATGGGATCAAGAAGCATAGAGGAATTGAATAGGTGACAATCACTGATCTTGATTCCATTATTTTCCCACTTTGTGTCGATATTTTTGATAGACTGAGAAATGATGCCATCACTTCGTGTGACCAAACTGTGCACCTTCACGTCTTTGACCAACTGACATACCTGACCACAAAAAGATAGCAATTTCCCTGGAAATCCTTCCAGGTTATTAGGCATAGTGATCCACAGAGCTGAGAGACGCTTGTAGACAGACGTCATCTCTGCAGGACTGCCCATTTGTTGAGGTGAGACGAGGATTATTCTCAGTAATATTTTTTCTCTAGCAAGTTTGGTTTCGACAATGACGATCTCATCTTGGATTTGAAGCACGTTTTCAATGCTGTAGCGGTGTGGATCCTGCCAATTTACATCAAATATGACGTCGAAGAAGCCGATCAAAAAATCACCGATACCTATTCAACAGAAAACAAATTATATCAAGACATGCGTACTCTCTACGCCTTCATAAATAATACTAATATATTGAGGAAAATAGAATAGAGGTAATCAATACTTTAACTCAAATGTAATTTTTTTTTATCATTTTTTTAAATACTTCTATGAAGACCATGAAGACGGGAAGTTTGGGGAGGTGACTAATTTCTTTTCGAGCAAAAAAACTCTCTGGAGCATATTGAAGTGATTCTCAAGAAGGGTGCATGTAATATTATGTTCAGGCAAAACGTTATTTCTGACACTAGAAAGTGGAACGTCCATGAATGAACTTATTAACATTTACCTAGTGGAGGTTTATCCGCTTGTTTGATCCAGCAAAAGCTGTCTTGGTCCGAGTGACTTTGAATGAACGAGCAGGTAACATTTATATTGCTTATTATGAGATACGATTTCATTGAGGAAGAATTAAATCAACCGTTCAAATTGATTAGGAATGCTTTATTGAACAAAAATATTAGCATTTGTGAAGCCGTTAAATTGCAGTGCACACAAAGCTGCCACTTCAAGTGTACGCTGACCAGTTGAATATATGGTCAAATGTGTGACGCATGGAGAGTAAGGCCGAGTTCATACTCGTGCCGTACAGCTGCTGGATGCTGCAACTGCATGCTGGACGAAAGATTCAATCCAGCATGCTCCGTTGCTGGACTGCAGTCCTGCAATACAGCAAGGAAAATGCTGTACTACAGCTGGATGCAGCATGCTGTCCTGCAAGCAGTTGGTGCGGTGCAGCATGCTGGATGTCAGTTGAGCTCTGAGAATTTTCGATGCTTGGGACAGGCCAATCTAAATAGTCATCCATCCGTTCAGCCCTTTCCCCCTAAATCAAAGGTGGGTAGCCGCCTCGCTGCTATTTATGGTGGGGTCGTTCTGCTTGATGTTGGGTGCAGTAAGCGCAGCAGTCCGTTAATGGACAGCAAAACTGCAAGTTGCCTCCGACAGACCGCAAGTTTCCCATTGCAACAAAAACTGCTGGTGTATTTTTCTACCGTAAGCGCAGCGAATATGGAAACAACGGACGAGAAATTTGATCGGATTTGACCACGCAGTCTCTTGGATCTCAACGACACCCTTTACATCTGGTTACTAATTGAAATTCTCTTACTACTAATTAAAAATTAACCAAGAGGAAAAGACGTCCGAAATGGACCATCCGTCAAATGCTACATGTGATGCATCAATCGCAAGCTCTTGATGAGTAGATGCGTTGGTGCATATTTTAACTTGGAAATATGAAAAAATAGTAATTTTAATGTCATGAAGTGCGGGTGTGTGGTCTAGGCAAGCATGGAGTGGAGTGCGCTCACACGTTCATCATGGGGATAGTTGAATGGAGGGTGAGAGCGTCCGTATTCATTGGAACAGAAAGCCTTATCATCAACCCGGAATTCTTCACGTATTTCGAAATGTTGTCACCCCAGAGGCGGATCTCGCGGGACGCGAGTGCGGTCTTGTAGCGTATATTCAAGTGAGAGCCTTGTCCCAACGAGCGTGGGTCATGACGCCTGTCGTAACCCCATACCTACAGCTACAAATGATGGTCTTCATGATGCTTTTCTCACGTTAGCAAGTGTAGGCAGCGATTAATCTAATTTTTCTAAAGACATGAAGCATCCGCAGTGATCAGTCGTGAAAAGCAATTTAAAAAACAGCAATTAATATTTTATTTACACCGTGGAACACTGACAAAAATAAATATACCTGATGAATACCATCATTCCTCTTTTTCACTTGAGCATTCAGCAATCGAGAAAATCAACAAGTGCTTGGAAATTGATTAGGCTAAAATACAAAATTGCTGCATCCAGCAAACTCAAAAATAGGAATGATTTCTATTCGATCCAGCTTGCAGCACTGCACATTCTCTTTGCTGGACGGTATGCCGCATCCAGCTGCTGTACAGCAGTTTCCTTGCTGCGCAGCAGGATTGCAGTCTATCAGGAACGCGTGCTGGATAGGATTTTGCCGTGCGGCATGGGATTATAATAGACACTTCAACTAGGCCGATCGTGCCATTTTGAAAATGCAGTGCGGCATCTGCTGGAAGCAACGTGCAGCTTTGCCGTCCGTTTACGTACTGCAGCCGTATACTGCACACAGCATCCAGCAGTTGTACGGCACGAGTATAAATTCGGCTTAAGTGTTCTAATATATGAAGGGTGTTCCGAAAGTTTCTGAGCCACTAAAGTGAAGATCGCGACGAGACTAATGGGAATATGCTGCTCTACTTGCATTTCACACTGAAACACCATCTTTTGGCAGATTAAGATTCCCCTTCTTTCAAAGTGTCCTTTCAAAGGGAGCAGCGATTAATAGAAGTTAACTTCACATCTGGAAGAGAAATGTTCTAACACCATGGGTTTCTAGTGCTTCAATATGTGTGTGCGTCTTCGGCACACATTTCAGCTGATTTCACGTACTTATTTCCATCGTATAGCGTCGAAGTCGCATTGTGAGAAAGCATTGAACTGATTGCTAACAGGTGTATTTAGGAACTCCCACCTATGGAGTCCATAATGCCTTGCTCAGATTGAGATATTGTCATATGGTATCATCCCGCCCTGAAATGCCCTCGTGACAAGAGAAGTAAGACGACCATTATCTGCGACGAAACTGTACTTTGGCCAAAGATGATTACGACTTTATATCCGCAACAAACTTTCCGCAACCACTTTAGCCACGACGAAAGCTCCAGTAACCGATGTATCGTACTAGTGAGTTTGTTTACCCTTCGGGAAACAAACTCGCTGTGGTCGCGCCTTCGGCGCTCCATTATCCAGTATAGTGATTCGTTCATTAATTTATGTTCAAAGTGGCGAAAACATATTAAAAGAACGTGTCTGTCGAAATATGTATCGAGAGGGAACAAACCGATATTTTCATGGAAATAATTTACTGCGATTGCTTCCTGTGTGCGTAACTTCATATATCTTCAAAATCTGCCCTGAGGGGTCATATTTGAAGAGTAGGATCAGCACTCAATAATAGATCAGGTTTTTCTGAGCCATGTTTCAACTATCATTAGTTTTCTATCACATTGGATGAGAAAGGATTCCGGAAAATGCGTCTTTTCAAAAAATGTCCCCTCATGGGTTTCACCTAAAGTTTAATTTTTTTGCATTCAATAACCTTTTCCTACAGTTTCAGACTTATTCGTTTCCTCGTTTTGTTGGTGCAAACATTTATTTGGAAAGCCTTCGCAGCCAAAAGCCGCAGCGGCAGCTTTTCCTAAGACGCCTTTTCCATGCACCTAAAAACTTGAATTTCTTCTAACTCACCATCACCTCAGGTATTGGTGTGCCAAATTTCACTTTTCTATGTCTGCCCAATTTGGTAGGACAAAGAAAATTATTTGAAAACGTCACCTCCCCAAAAATTTGCCCACAGGGCATATGCATCTGAAACTTGACATTTTTCATGAACTCAGAGATCCAGTGGCCACGTCAATGCCAAGTTTCAGCTCTCCGCAACTCTCCGTCTGAATAAAGCAAAAATATTTACTTAAAAAATCTCTCCCCAAAATGGGTACCTCCAGGGCATGTATCTCCGAAGTCGCACTTTTTCTGAACTCTTCATCCCAAAAGGCAAGTATGTATCAAGTTTAGATTTCTAACTTCTCTAGAACATGGAATTAGTGTCAGTCATTATGTCACTCACTCAGTCATGATCGTCCTTATTTAAAGGATTTTTGTACTTACACGCAACATAAGGGATTTTTTGCCACTTGTTTCTGGAGTTCAGCCCGTGCCTTTCAGCTCACCGGGTTGCATATCTTGAAGGATAAACCTATCGCTAGTGTGTTTCCTTGCTGATAGGCAACCCAGTGGGTCTCATAGCGTTCACCGACCTCTATCTACAAGCGGCAAAATTGTCCTATGTCGCGTTTAAATACGAACACCCTGTATATATATTCAATAGATGCCATTTCCCAGTGTCCCCATAAATATTGCTTGAAGCCGTTTTTTTTAAATCGAATTTTACCTTTGCATAGAACTCACATTCTGTTGATACTCCTGTGAGTAGGACTTCAATTTTCTTCTCCATAGGTGAGGGATTCCCAGAGTTTATTTTGTATCTAATACACCTCTTTTCGCGGCTGTGTGATATACCCAATATAGGTAACTCACGAACCAAAATCTTAGATTCTGCAGATGATGTGGGTTGTTCGCGTCCCTGATTTGAGTGGGAGAAAATGTGCATAATTCATATCCATCACAGAGCATATTCGTGCCTTGCAAATATTATGAAGCTTCTACCTCATTCGTATCTAGATCCTTTCCTTTAGGCTCCCCTAATGAGTCACCAACAGGTTGAAGTTGATGTTTTTTGCGAGGCGCTGCTTTGGGGACACGTCTGCACTCTTGTTTAGATGCACCGTTATCCATTTCTATGACATCTTCTTGGCCAGCCTTCAAAAAAGAAGGTCTTATGCTGATATTTGAAGACTAAGGAGTTTTTTTTTGCTTTAAGGGCAAATATACACTATGGTCACGCCTTCGCCGCCCATTATCTAGGATAATGATTATTTCATTTGCAATATCCGTTTTGACCAATCTGGTACAACTCAAGGTCCCATAGCCATAATTACAGCTCTGTCAAGTTGCTTCCCGTTAGGTGATGTCATTGACAAAGTAGCTGACTGATATCTATAAATTCTTAAAATTGTCGCCCGAAGAGGTACATCTGTAAGAACTTCAACCATTTATAGCCACTCGAATAGTTTAAGATAAATGTTTATTTGGAATGTGCTGCATAAAAATATTATGGTCACGCTGAAATATAACTTAAAAAAAAACAGAAATTTCCATGAAAATTCTCATAGATAATCTTAAAGGAATTTCAGTTTTCTTCATCCTCCTCATTACTGTAACAATATATTTTAACCCTTTCATGGCGTATGATCCTCATAAGGATAATATATTTTGAGAATACTCTTGTGGTTACCATTGTGCTAAACCTGTTTCATCTGGTACCACTAAATAGCTCTCGAAAAGGGCTCTTTGGTGATGCAACATTCATTCAAAGTGGTTGTAGTTCAGGCAAGAATATTATACTTTTTAAAAACATAATAGGAACATGATCTAAAACTATTTAGACAACAAAGCAAAACGATTCCGTATCATACTTTCCTGCAGTGGAGACCGACTGCGATCTGAGGTTCAAGCCAAAAGGATTATTGAAAGTATAGCATTTTTATGGAGGAGAGTAAGAATTGGCTAAATTACTCAAGAGGGGAATGAGAATGGCGTATGCTCGTTTCAGTTTTCATCGTAACTTTTCTGCGAAATATTAATCGGCTACATAAAGCATTTCAAAGAATGAAGCCATTCTACAGCAACATATAATTCAACATGGAATGTTGTTTTTATGAACTCACTTCCTTTTCCGGGACTTGATGATCCGGACCTTCCTTTTCCCCTTGGCTTGGAGGGAATATCTTGGAAAGATCTCCAGCTTCATTGCATGGTGTACTTTGTTTGGAATAAGGCGGACTCCCAGCAGTATCCTTCTTTAAAGAGCCACTTGAAGTATTCACTTCTTGAAGCTTCTCTTCTCCTTTGTCAGCCTTTCATGGGTACAAATGTTTTTATGCGTGATTCTGTTATTCGAAGCTATATGATGAAATAAATTTCTATGGAAAAGGGCGAGATTTCCCAAGAAAGTGGGGTAATAAATTGGCAGATGGATTCCTGCTTTTTCCCACTGTCTAGGAAGTTGGCCTCCACATTCAAGGACGTGACCTTCATCCCATAGGATCCACCAGAATATAAACGATGAGATTAGCATATTTATATATTGGGTTTCACAATATATTGATATTGTAAAAAAATATTGCGATATAGAGTGTGGCGATACTGACATCGTTCAGGTGCACGCTAATCGATATCATCGTCTATAGATATAGAAATAAGAAACATCTAGTATTTATATCATCCTCGGCGATGTCTATCCATTATCATGACATCCCTGCCTCCTTCTGGTGTGGATTATTTATTTCTTAAGAGGCAGAGTCTTTATATCCTTTAGAGAAATCTATGCTTGAGAAATCTCCCTTTCTTCCTTGACACGCACGATGTCACCCACAGTACCCCAAAAGCCAACGTAGACATCCTCAGCAATTTTGTCCGGCCAGCTATACGTAATTAAACAAAAAAACTCCTACGCTGGTAACAAGCATTATTCAGTTGCAAGACGAAGTGGCTCTTCATCAGAATAGTAAGCGGAAGTCCAGGAGGCCATGGCCGACTGAGACTGGGAGGTTCTCGCCCACCCAGCTTACTCGCCAGATCGATAATGACTTCTTCCTCTTCCCCAAGGTTAGGGAGAGCTTATGTCTACAACGGTTTCAAGATGCCGATACCATCAACAATGTTTAAAAAAGATGGACCTGATCAAAATGAGTTAATCCTGGCTTCCACAGTCTGGTGAAAAGCTGAAAGTAATGCTTATTGGTGACTGCATTGAGTCGGAACCACTCTAATTTATATTTCCTACATATTTAACGATATTAGGTTGAGAAATAAATTACTAATAAACCAATATTTACGACTTTCTGGATGACCCACGTGCATTTAGTGAAAATGCTGAATATGATCATTATTTTCAAAGAATTTTCGAAATTGAATATCAGAATCATAGTTAGGATCTATACAGGAATAAATTAAAGGAAGTAATGACGGAAAGAACCTCTCACACCCCTTCCCCCTCGATGTAGTTCCTAGATCCTGCTGGACATAGTAGGAGACCGAAGAAAAGGGAAGTCACGATTTTTAATGAGGGAGGAATATCGCGATACTACCCTGCTTCTTCCCAGCCGCTATTAACTCCAATTGGGTCGAAAAAGAGGAGAGGAAATGCGATGGGCCAGGGTTTTCAGGGCCCCAACGCCGTCCTGTCCATTCCCCCTTTCTCGCACCCCCTCTCCTACCCTCAGCCGACGAAAAAATCGATATACAATATTGTGATGTTGCAGAAATACGATATGATATGTTCCTAAGACAAATACCGTGCAGCCCTATTTATATCCATGGGATGAGATGCTTATCATTAAGGACGAAAACAGTTTCCCATTTGCGACTCAATAGGTGACATGCACCAGATCCATTTAACTTTAAACTGATTCGTTTTCATAATGGGCTTCTATGGGAATAGGTTTATCTCTGTTAAACTGATTCCCGTGGGAAACCATTGTGAGACCAGATTAGTTTATCTTAAACAGATTCGGTGCAGGTCACTCAAATGTTAACCAACCTCCTTTAGTTTCCATATGTTTCCTTATTATTGGGGAGGAGGTACAGCGTCTATGTCTTTCCTTATGTCTCTGCGTTGCTCAAGAAAAACTGAACTATATATTCGGGGAAAGGTATATATAATGCGTTGTTCCTATGAAATCAAGGTCATGTGCATAGGGCAACCTTATGCAAGCAAAATATTTTTCACTTACATGCGAATTCGATGAGCCATTTCCTTTTCCTTGATAACCAATGTCTTTCTCCCCCGGGGTTGACAGAGGGTGACCTTCCAAGCCAGGACGTAGGACACCTTGCCAGTCCGGAAATTTTGCAAAACGAGAAGTGAGATCCTAGGAAATTTAAGGTTGGGACATTCAGACGCGTACATCCTTGGATGTACTAACGAAGAAACAAATAACTTCAAGGGAGCCCATTACAGATAAAAAGTAAGGTAAGTTCAAACAAAGTCCTGTCAAAACCTTTTTATATAGCAATTGGCTGTATTTGCAATCTGTTTACAATTAACTTTAATTACTATTAGCTCTTTGGTACTCATGATGTTTCATTAAAGTAGGTGGAAGCACCAGTAATCCCATATAATCTAATCTGTTTAATCGATTATGACCATCCATAAAGAAGAAAGCATGACATAGTTTTTTCGAAATGAGCAAACACCAATGATACTCTAGGGACCTGGAGGTGTTGGAAAGTACATGAATAAATGTGTTATATTTCTATGTATGCCTTTATGAAGATCATTAGTCTCTAGGTGGTGCAAGCAATTACTGCTAGTTTTTGTGCAGACATCTGCATGCCTGCATAATTCGAAGATCAGAGACAATAGCAAAGAAATGGTGTAACTCAAGGAACCCTCATTCGCCCAGACAATGCAGTGTAATTGAAAAATCAAAAGAAAAAACCGTTTTTGGATGAATATGGATAACAGACACTGTCTCGTACTTCACATTTTCATGAAGAACTTATTTGAATCTTAAGAGAGGATGAACCAAATGGTATACACATTAATCGTGAACTACTTCACAACATACTTTCGAATCATATCCATAACCTTAAATATAGCCTGCATATCAGCTGATGGAAGATACATCTGGAAGCTATAAATATTTCGAATATTCTGGGTTTCTGAAAGAACTGAAATTGAAAAAAGAAATTAAAAAAAACCTCATTAAATGACATGATTGGCGCAACCCCAAGGCAATTAAGAACTCATGAATAACAAGTTCGTTTATAATTTTGAATAAATCTTATATGAAATTCCATCCGAAATTTGCTAATGAACTCCCATCCCATTCGCACCGCTTTGCGAGGCAAATGAGCTTTGACACCCCTGATAATGACAACTCTAATTTCAAAACACGTGATGCAACGTATTCTGGTGGTTTATATTAGTTCTAAATACTTTGAGGTATGATATGAATTCTCTGCGTGAACAAACCTTCAAATTTTTAGACACGTTAGCATTGTCACTCCTCGCTTCTTCAGGGTTGATCGATGTATCATTCTTGAGAGGGCCGGTGCTTCCAATCATGTTGGTACTTCTAAATTTCTATGAATATAAGAGAGACCGTAAACAAGGAAATGGGGACGTCACATGCATATCATTTATTAAGTCTGTAACAAACTTGATTCAGCGCTTTCACGTCAACATATTGGACGACCCGTGAAAAACTTGTTTTCGCTGCGTTTGATCTTATGTCATCATGGTCTGGATTGTCTTTGAGAGAGCGATCAATACGTACTGAACTCGATGGGACACTTGGAATAGGCCAGCGTGTCTGCTGTGAATATAGCTTCTGATTACCAAGAGGAGGAAATTCTTTGGAAGATAAGTCAATTGCAGGGGGACGAGAATCGAAACTTCCACCATCAGTCACCTGCTGCAACAAAAAGGTTTTTGTTTCTAAATGAAGATGCTAAAAGGTATGACGATTGGGAATACTCCGATAACGACCTTGTTTTCAATTATCAAGGGTGATGTAAAAGTGCAGCCCGCCTTTGGTCGGCTGTTAATCATGACCAATAATTCAAAATCAAGTGCGACTTTGATCATTTGAAACCAATGAAAAGTATTCATGGTATTTCTCCCTTCATTTGAAACTAAAGCTTTCCCTTAAAAAATCATATAATTCAAATGAAAGATGAATTACCATAACTTGTAGTTCACATGGACATTCTTTGTCGATGGGCAGTTTAAACGGTATTGACAACCTTGGTGAAAAAAAATACAGAAAATGACATTCATTGAATTGGTGGAATTTCCTTGGAAGGAAGGAAACAGAAGAGGCAACAGAGGGAAACATGTATGTTTCATGGAATTGACAGAAGGATTTCGAATCGTCATAGAAATTACAGGGTGCCAATAGACGGTCATTGTGTAGCCATGCCAGGTTATAGGAAATGCAATTCTGACGTTCACGTCGTAAGCGATCATGCATGAAACAAATATCTGGAATGAACAGAGGGTCATTCGGACCTATAAACATATAACGCGCGCGATTGTTTGTGTGTGTGTGCCAGTTCTACAGGCCACACGCTTAAATTTAGAGATATGAACTTGGGTTTTCAACAGAATTCTCCCTTACTATCCCAGGATGTACCTTTTCGAAATGAAATTTCCTTCTGCCTGCTGCCGTGAATCCAGGGATTTCAAGTGTCCATGAGGAAATATGGGGCGATTCCTCAGCTCACATGGTCACATCCTCAGCTCACAAAATACACGGTCTTTCGTGAAGAAACCCATCACCCTAACTTAATCGTTTGTTCCCATGGCTGTAAATACAGATTTGCGGAATTGCACGAAGAACGCAACGAGGTCGGCGAGAGTGAAAGTTTTTCAATGGGTTGAATTGTTTTCCGGTATCGTAGTTGTATTGGTATATGGCAAAAATATATAGGTGTACTGTTTGGGAGCCAGGAAATTGAGGAAAAAAAACAACAATACGGTGATTTGCGGAACGTTGCTGTCTGAATTTTGCATCTTACTTTATTTTTATTCGCCTACTTTCACATTCGCCTACTTCGCTCTATTCGATCGAGTACCGAAGATTATCTCGTGTCAAATGAGAACCGCAGGCTTTTTTGACATTGCGCAAGAAGCATATAAACGTTTTCGAGGACGCTCAACATTTTTCAAATGGGTCTGTGGACATCCAGTGTAACAGAATGAACACATTTTTGGCCCTCAATTAAGGTGTCTCTTAGTCTCGAAACGTGCTACATTTGAAGGACATTCGTCGAACGTTTAAGATATTTTCCTAAAGCGTATCCACATTCGACACTGACTTAATGCAAAGATTCGCAAACCGACGCTAGATGGCGCCAAAGTAATCGCTATAGCGCGACAATGCCTGATACAGCTGGAATTTGTCACGAATACTTTCCACAATGTAGCCGATCTTTCTTCACATAGACCAGAGCGGAAGATACTCGAATTCTTAAATAAATCCGTCTTTAGAGGAAACCCAGTCCAAGGTGTTTCCATAGAACGCTGGCTCGAAACGATAGAGGGAGTAAAGTTCAATTTCCAAGCTGACTGCAAGTGTAGTGACTCAAGCGACCATCGTCATCTCATATACATAAAAGGGTATTCCTATAAAGAGAATGTTAATGGAGGAGCATTCCCTTAAGTTGTTGTACTCATCTAAGCGCGGCCGCCATATTGCTGAAGGCACACGAGAAAATTTTTTCATCGTAGCCACATGGGGAGGAGAAGGGCAAAAGTGGCAACTTCCCACTTCCACGCCGGGACCGAACCAATCACGTTAATGATTCCCACGTGCGGGACCGTCCCAAGATGGCGGAAGCACTTGTGACTCTCGTGCAGCGAAGGACTCTCCAGAGACATCTGTGCACATTACAGGGTTATTCCTGGCAGGGATGTCTGATTCCTGAATATGAAATAGCTGATGATGAGAAAAAAAAAGCCTATTATGAATTTGAATTTCCCCACGCTTCTCCTCCAGACTCTCCCAGACAATGTAGGATAGCACCATCAATCCTACCGATCGGCAACATTTAGGCTCTTCATCCAAACCACATGGACAAGGCTTTACTTAAACTGAATGAAATTTAAGTGATGAAAAAAACCTATCCAAAACGTTAATTGTATTCAGGATGAATCTTAAAAAAATTAAGTTTTATTGAACAGTTTCCCTGGAAATATCTAATTCACTTAGTTCCAGGAACGCTTAATTTTGACTGTTTTTAATGGCTTTGATTTTTGAACATTTAAGCAGGTAATAGAATGTTTCCAAGGCCATTAATGGAACGCTGGCCATACCTTGAATGGAACGTTCATTGAACAAGTTCGGGTCCTAGTTGGGTGGTGGTGTCTGAAGATCATGGAGATTCCTTCCACGACAGCAGAGTATTTCCTTACCTCCGGGTTGCAACAGATTTTACCCGCTTCTAGTTCTAATAAAAAGTTTGTAGGATTGTGTCCACATTTTTCAGTGTGCGAGATCCAGACCGTTAGCTAGGCCGAGCGACAATATTGTGTTTATGTGACAGCTCCACAGGTCAAACGCTTAGATATATGAGCTTGGGGTTTTGACAGAACCCTTCTTTATCTTCCGATGATGTGCCTTTTCAAAATGAAAGTTCCAAATCGGCCACAGGAAAGGGAGGGGAAGCAACTATCACGGAAAATCGGAATTTTGTTCTCATCTCGCCATCTCTCGGAAGAACGAGGAGACGAGAGTTCCCGCTATAATTGCAAGGGAACGGTGGCATTACTCAACGTGATGACTTCCCCCTACTGCCGGAAATCCTGGGACTTTAGCGTCCATGAGGAAATGGGAGTTATATTTTTTCTTCAACTCCATTCGCATTCGCCTCCTTCGCTTCTTTCAGTGATCGGGTGCCGAAGATAATCACGGGTTAATTAGACCAGCAGGGGTTCTACATACTAGTAAGTGGCCCGTGCAAAAGCACGGAAGTATTTAAATGCAATAAATGCGCACATGGCCATGGGAGGCGGTCCCCACACTCCCGCCTCCTGCTACCTGGTTGGTCATGTGAGAAGACATGACGCGGAAAAAGCATCCCTAATTTGTCGGTCTGCACCTGCGCTTCGTAAACCCATCCGCATCATCTTCGGTTCAGCTCAAGCTAAGACGTACCTGTAGGTCTTCGGTGATATCGGCCAGGCGCGACGTACGACGTACGTGTACGCCTTTGATGTGAATGGGTTAATCGTCATTGCGAAGGACCGGGAACCGACGCCGAGCGAAGACAAAGGGTTATCCAAATATCAAGGCGTTACCTTAAATCGTCACCTCGTAGGACAATGTGGTATGTGGGCTTTAATTGGCCTCCTCACGCGACTCACATTGCAACCCGCCGCGCACGTTTCCGAACGTTAATGGCCTCATGCCACGCTTCGTGTTTTATGGCTATTGGAGAGCCACTGAGCTAAGAAATAATTGGAGATGACGCACCCATAGAAACAGTATAGGCATTCGTGCTGAAATTGAGGCCATGAGCCCAACAAGAATGGCTTTCAGTCACCATTCACTCCCATTGGATTTCCCCCGAATTTCAACCCAACCTTCTTCTAAATACTAACTCTTAGGAAAACAGCCCCGGCACAGCATTCACAATAGGTTCTCAGAGAACCAGTAAGTCCTATCGAGTCGTTCCAATACTTATTTTTATTTTGAATATGGGTTTAATAATTCAATATAGGCAGATGGCAGAAAAGAGCGATTAAGAATAGATCACCAAAATACTGCGATTTACGTGCTAAGTGATTCATAGAGTTTAAAGTAGGCCTGCCGAGCGCATTGGCGGAGTGAAGGAGCAGGTATCGTGGGATCATTACTAGCAGCCATACTGAAAACGGAAGCATACTCTGCTAAGACTCGCCAACACTTTTACTATGCACCTCGTGGTCACCCTTCGTCTTCATTAGTCTAAGTTTGCCTTTGAACGTTCACTTCGTCAAACGAACTAAAGATCGTTTGTCTTCATGCCTCACATTGGGTGTGAAATAGATTGGCAGTGATGATGCAAGAGCGGCATAACGTTATCACCTTCACGGGTCAAGCTATTTCAGCAAAGGCAGTCCTTGAACTTCAGGCCCACTCGAGAAATTGGGGATAGGGAAACGGTATGGTGACGACGCGACTAATGTCTTCTTCCTCATCCAAGAAAAAGCGCTCCTGTGCCATACAGGTGGGATACATTTATGGGCAGGGATCTCATACAGAAGAGGAAGTAGTTCTCCCCGAGAGATGAAAGGTGACGTTTTACACGTCCCTGCGGAAGAGTCCACACGAAACCCCTTGAAGTAGGGAGCTGGGCGTGTACGTAGAATGCCTCTTTCTCCTGTTTTAAGGCTAGGGATGACATGGAGAAGAAATACAGAAAGTCATTTGTTCGGTGGTATAATGACAGCACATTTGGCCGGAAACGTTCATTCCCTGGATTCGATTCCCATCCCCTCCATCATTTTCTTTCCC